ACTGAGGTCCTGCTTGATGTGTATCAGCAGTGACACTGTCAACAATGTGTCCTGACAAAGCAGGGCCATTGCTGTTTACCTACTTGTCTTTATAGGTGTGGGTTTGTGTGTGTATGTTGGCATGTACTGTATAGGTGTGTATGTGTATGAGAGCTAAGCAAGGGCCAGACAGGGTATTAACACACAGGATCTGTGTGCGCGACACGCCTGGTCTAATTAACTACTCTGAAAAAAAAACACAGGTGACTCCCTGTTAGAAGAGGAGAGTAGTCAGCGCTAAAGAGGGACACAGGATGAGGTCAACAGAAACAAACACAATCATAACAGAAGACTTCTCACACACTACTGGTTCATCTTGCACAGACACATCACATACAGCATTCACCATGATGTGGGTTTGAGTTAAGCTTATGGACAGTGTCAAGTATCAAATTTTATTGTAATGCCGTCCCCTACTCTCACTTGTTACAAACATGTATGCATGTAGTACATATTCAAAAAATAGTGTTCTCCAAGAGAAGACGGCAGCTGTCAGAAAGGATAAAAAAGAAAAAGCATTGAAACAACAATCAATATGTTAATGTATACCAACTAAGAATTGACAACATTATCTGCAGGCTGCTTATTTCCTCAGATTGGCAGTTTGCATTTAATGTTTTTACCTCAACTTATGCATCTTGAAAGGACTGACAAAAGCCTTCAAAACACCACAGATAAAATACAAATGTATTGAGAGAAACCTAAAAACAAGGCTGTTCCTCTTGGCTCCCACATAGTTCACAATTTCCACCAAATATTAATGTTGAACTGCTGTTTAGTTTCTTCCCCTCTTTATATTTTGTTTATGTGTTGGCGAAAGAAGAAGATATTCATTTCTATTTGTGTCCCCTTTGATTTGTGTTTGTCTGTTGTCTGAATCTGTAGCATTGCTACTGTATTAAACTTGTTAATTAATCAATCAGATTGGTCAGTCTCTCACCTCAACACAAGTCTCTATTTCACTGTACTGGTTCATTATGGGTAGTATGGTCTCCATGCTGCTGTGTTCCACCAGGTCCGACTTGTTTCCCACCAGGATCAGCGGAACCCTGGACACACCACCACAGCATTGCATCAACACTTATATATCACATGAAATGTCAATGACAACAGTTGGTGACTGCTAATTCAAGAGAGTACTTTTCATTGTATGAATTTCAGTATTTTCCCTCCAATAACAGCAGTGACTGATATCACAGTGAGAATACCACAACGCAGGAGGCTGAATCTGCTCATGTGAGATGCTGAACTTAGACTGCTGCTCACAGTGAAGCAATTGTGAGAAATTTTCCACCTTGTGACTATAGGTCATCACTTCAAGCACTAGTAGAAAATTTAAATGGTTGGCCTCTTGCTACAGAAAATGGTCTTTTGCAGACTTGCTGACATGCTCACGGCCAATGGAGAAATAGGCACCCTCTTCCATCCCATATTTCTTTAGTCCAAAACTGACATGACATCAAACTATGGACTATTTTTATAAGTTCACACCTGCTGTCCTTGTCCGTGTTCTCGGTAATGAGGGGGATCCAGTGGCTGGTCACCTACACAGATGAAAACAAATGTAGAAAAGATGAAAACATATAAAGATCTCTATTTTTAGAGACAACTTCTAATCTATAAGTCACATGGTCTCACATGTAAAGTTATACTGTTTAACTGTAATGCAAACAAATTATGGAAATGCTAGCAGCAGAGGTAACTCACCTTTTCTATAGACTTCTTGTTGTTGACAGAGTAGACAATACAAATCACATTTGCCTATGTGAGAGACCAACACAGATGTCCATTAGGGCCATTAGAACTCAGCACTTATCTCCAAGTGTAATAGAAATGTATATTGCACTGACTAACCTTGGAGATCTCCTGAAACAGCTGCTCATCTGTCTGCTCTGCCTCTGTTAGAGAAGAAAAATATATTACAGTTAAAACACGGAAAGCGCTCTTCTTTCTCAATTAGCCATTTAAAAAATGTATATATTTATGATTTCCCAAAATGGGGTACCAACATTTAATGCAGCAATACCGAAACACTATTACATGGAAACATTTTTCAGTCACTGCAGAATCAAAAGAAAGAAACAGGCATGGCCTTAAAGTACCTGAATAGTCCACAATGTGTGTGGGAACTCTCTCTGGTGTGACATCTGCAGGTATGGTGATTTCCTCAGCTCGGTAGGGCACCTGGCACAGACACAAGGGACACACTAGGCTATGGCTCATATAGACATGTTTACAACTGGCTACAGAGCTTCAATAAAACAGTCAAATCAGTGGTGATAAACCCCACAAAGGCAGATATTCAGTTCAAGGTGGAGAGGCATCATCAGGGTGACCACTATCTGACAAAATATGTTTCTCCATACCACATCTGGGAACTCCTCGCTGACCAGGGACATGATTAGAGACGTCTTCCCCACCTTGGCTATGGAGGGATGGAGACAGAAGAGGAGTTTAGCATACCCTGAACTATGTTTGCTCACTAGCTCATAATAATTAATGTGAAAATAATTAATTGAGCTTTACAAGCTATTCAGGCCATGAGACTGGGACACAGACTTTACACTGTGGACATTACAAAACCCTATGACAATTTTAATGGCTGTGTGTGATCTATGAACTGCAGCTTCCATTCTGGCGCTGATTTTAATATTACTCCATGAATTTCTATTACTAAGCTAGAGACCTGTGAAAAATGTTTCATCAAATGATCTGTTAATAATATGAAGTTTAGAAGAACAGAGGAAACAATCTAGTTCCCAAGACAACTGGGATTACTGTGGAGATGTGCCAGGAAAAAGCAAAAGTCTGAAATAAAAAAACGTCTATAAAAGTAATAATTCTAGAAAAGACCATAACCTGTTTGGAAGACACTTCCTTTTATTCAGTGATAATCCAATACTTTATTGAACACAGGAAAAACAAATAGGAAGATGTCACCTGATATTTCTAATTTGTATACAGATTTAAATTAAATTTGTATCAATTTCTTTAGCTTTGCTGTAGTTTAAAGTATCTCTGCAGTGATTTCAATGTTCAGTTCAGAGAAAAGGTTGGAAAAGACCTCAATGACATTAGCGAAATAAGGTGGGTTACGTGATGGGCTAAGAGTAAGAATAAACTGTTGCGTTTGTAATATATGAACTAATTGTTTTAATTATCAATAGAAGATACGAGGCGTAAAGGCGAATGAACTAAAATTAAAATACACACCACCATCACCGTGAGACAGTGGTGTGGTTGTCAGCATCACATTCCCAGCTAGTAGCATCAAGGCAATGTGAAGTGAACACTAACGGCTGACCCCGTAGACAGTCTCACCTGTCCAGCACTGGAAACAACAGCTTTACTTACGCTCTCCCACTAATAATATCCTCACGTCCTTGCGCATCCTCTCCAGCGTCGACAACCAACTCGGTAAACTGGTTTGTGTGAAACATTTATGCTCCTGTCTGGATGAAGGTATAGCCAGACAGCTCTCCTCGGCCTGGCTCGCTTGCTAACAGCTACGTTCGCATTTCTCTCCGGTTTATACTGGTTTAGAACAGACGGTTCACTGTAACAGATTTGTATAAACCGTTAGATAACAACAAGGTTATATATATATATATATATATATATTCTGCCTGCCTGCCACGGTCAGTCATTTAACAGTACTGCATATGCTGCTACTGCTGCTGTGTTGAGCCAGCTAACCTACACACAAACTTGACTGTTGCGGGCGTTAGCAAGCGTGTTTTCCACCACGCCCCTCTGATTCAGCTGACTGCGTGAGGGTGAGCAAAGATCGTATATTTTTGAAAGAATCACTTAAAAACTTTAGAGTCACCCACTTTCTTAACCTTCTAATACGGTCATTGGTAGTCTCTTAACAATAAGAACTATAATGACAAATTGCGACTTAGAATACAGACAGAGCTCTTCATATTTTTCAGAAATCCTAATGTGCTCGCTGCTTAGTTGGCGTGATAACATCTCTGGTATCGGGAGAATGGTGTTGAGTGAGACGTCTTATGTTTTTTCCTCCAGCTCTGCACCGCCTGTCAACTTGCGCCATCTACTGGCAAGAACCCTAACAGCAGAAACTAGAAGTTTAGGTGAGCTATAGATATATAATCATCAGCTACTGTAGGCTTTCTGTTATTATTGCACCATACTATCAAATTGTTGAAACAGAAATATAATTCAGAGGATTCATTTCAGTGAGCTTGTAACATATTTTCAGTTCAAAGTTAAAGTGCACTTAAACAGTCTACTACCACTACAACTACTACTGCTACTAATAATTACTATTATTCTATTACTACTGTAGGAGGTTTGGAAATCATTTGGTAATTCATGGTCAATTTTATCACCCGGGCGTCCAAGTTTCATCCACTTTTGGTGCATTGTGTATGTATTAATCACAAATTAATTTAGTGAAACTATGTAAGTATAGTATAAACAGAAGTAATATGAGCCTAAAAACAGGCGGAGTGACAAAATATATATCATACAGGTGTTGCCTTAAGGCCCTTATATTTTCCATTTATAATGTGCTTTTCAAATTTGCTAATAATCCAATGACCCCCAACTAATAAGCCTTCAGGTTCCCTGTGCGTCTGAGGGGCCAGTGGCAGTTATAAACTTGGCCTGGTTGGTAATGCACCCTTGTATATCAAAATAACCTGCCCATTATAATAAATGTATCTGGATAGATGCACCTCTACTCTGGCTGATATAATCCTCTGATACATCACTGCACTGTATCTGCATTGCTGAAAAAGAAATTCCTGGTAAAATGCGGAAAGCAGGAATCAGTTGTGGATCAAATTTATTCAATTTATGAAGAGCTTTCAGTTTCAAATATATACACAACTAAAAAACAACAGTGTGTGACGAACAGGAATCTAATATTTTCAAAAAATGTGCAAAACACAAAATACAAAATTACTACAAAAATTTGCAAATTACACGTAGAATCTAGAGTGCCTGTTTTTAATAAATACATAGAAGTGCAAGGAGACAATAAAATAGGAGAAAGGGAGACAATACAAATTTTGGTTTCAGTCTATTCATAATGTATTGCAAGAGAATGCTTTTATCTGTTGCCATTGTTGGCAAAGACAATGCAATAAATTTCAGAGAAACTGCTTTTGATGTGCTTGGATCTTCCAAAGCAGCAACGTCTCAGCTGTGACAACAACTTCTCCAAAGTGTCATGCTGTAATCACAGACGTTGTAGTGTTAGAGCTGAGTTAAGTGTCAGCGTCACTTTTGGAAGTGAGGCTATCAGTCTGTTAGGTCCCAAAAGGATACTGTTCTTTATTGCATCCTGACATTTTGCACACCAGCAGGTAAGACTGCTCCATTCATTTCCCCCTTCTCAAGTTGGCTTCATCTGTATCAAAGACAGAATGAAAGACAGAGTTAGGACTCAGCATTGATTCACATTTATGTCATCTGCTATGCATAGATGTACTGTATCAGAGTTAAAATCAGTATCTTACTTGCGTAGTCCTCTGGGGTCATGGGTTGAGAGATGACTTTCCTAAGTGCCTCCAGCCACTCCCTCTGCTCCTGCTCCTGCTCACACATAAACAAAAACTCCCTGAATGGAGTCTTCAGCGTGATGCCACAGTGCCACCGGCCTCCCCTCGTGCTCTTGCTGCTGCTCTCTGACACAGAGTAGCTGTGGCTCTCTGAGCCAATGAAGACAGCACCCAACTCTGTAGCATCCTAACAGTGTAAACACACAGCACAGGGATATGCTCAGTCAAAAACATGGCTGTAATCAATTGAAAAAAGAAACACTGGAAAATGCAATCTGTATAATTATTGTACTTTTTTTTATAACTGAGTGGTGAAATCTTTTACGTTTGGATGTTTTGGGTTTATTTTCACTTCTCACACACAGTGCAGACACTATGACATATTCTCAGTTCTTTACCAGTGGAGTTTTGAAATACAGAAGCTTTCTGTCCATTGAGCACAGTGTGAACCACCTCTTCTTGAATGGCTCCCGTTGCTGACAACACACATACACAGACAGATAAAATGGGACAGGCAGAGAGAGAGAGAAAGAAAGATATTCAAAGCAAAGAATCAAATTAGTTTATCAGATATAACAAAGTTAAACAAAACCAATTGATTTTTGTATTGAATTAAGAAAGCTGACAGACCGTTGGGCCAGTTTTCTCCATGTATCCCTCCTTCAGGCAGTGTCTTGTTAACTGAGGTATTAACTGTGTAAAGAAAAATAGGAAATGCTGTTAACTGAACAAAAGTTGTAGTTTAAGACTTTAACAGTCTATGTGAATAATGAAAAATTGTCTCACATCACTGTCTTGGAGAGTGGGGTGTTTCTTCTGGAGGTATGCCAAGCGTGTCGCCCGAATAGCATTGAATAAGGATACAACTATCTACAGTATAAGACATCAGATAAAGGACAGTATATCAGGAAGACAATGATGTACATAAACTGCATCCGTGCATGTATATTGTCTGGACAGTTTCATACATTTTTTTTTTAGGTATACAGCACATGGTGTAAGTTTCAGAACGCCTGCTGAACTTGGATTAAATTGTTTTGTTCATCTCTCTCTCTCTCTCTCTCTCTCTCTCTCTAACAGTTGTGAGTTTCAAAGTAAAAGACTCTACACATGCTCTATTTGTATGCTATATTTGCCGAGACAAGTCACTTATCTGTTAGTGGAAGTGGAAATAAAATAGCACTATAGTAGTTGAGCTCACCTGACCATTCTCGTGGTAAACAAACAGATTCCTTGTACGCTTGTCCTGTAGGTAGGATATCTGCAGACCGTGAGTGTGACCGACCTTCTCTGTCTGGAAAACTGCATTCAGATCCTTCATGCAGATGACAGCTTTGGGAACCTTGGACTTGTTTTTGTTTTATGGAAGAGATGAGATAGGGTTTTAAAAGATTAGAAACACAAACAGTTTTTGAGTGTAACCCACGTATACTCATAAAACATTTTGGACGACTACTCACATCCTCTTTAATGAAGTATCTGAGGGTGAAGTCTTTCCGGGACAGCACAAAGATCCTCTTAAGAAACTGTTTGTTGTCTTTGCCCTTCTTCCATAGTGTTGACTCAAATGAATCTGGATCAGATACATCAAATAAACAAAAGAGGATGCATCTTATGATCTGTGCAGAAAACAAATGCCAATTCAGATATGTTGCTGAAAGGAAGAATATATTCTTGTTAATATTGTGGCAGGATTATTACCTGAGCTATAAACTTGGTGAAAGTAGTTATTTTCTCCTGTGAATTCTCTTCTTTCATACTTTGCACGGATCCATTGGTCCTTGAGAACACTAAAAGCAGGGAAAAAACAACCATTAATGGTTCCCCATGGATGAAACAAAAGTGTCTAAGTAAATACACGCCACTGAAAAACATGTAGACCTGTCATTGATAATAGTGTCTTTTGCAGAAGCTCCACCTCAGCGCCCAACACACATTGTTTGTTCCTCTTCCTCTAAACTGCATGTGCAACAGGAGCGCTCTACTCCCATTCACCGATTTGAGTATTTGTTGAGTCCTCACTTTTTACTTCCACTGATCCAGTGGGGTGAATGGCTGATAGTAGTGGTCACTCACATGCAGTCTTTTTGCTGTGGTCGGTAGAAGAAGGCAGGGACACACTTCTCAAAAATGGCTTTGGCTGCAGAATTTCCCCTCTCCCGCATGAACTGAAACCAGAGATTTAAAAGGTTATACTAAGACAAAAAATATTCGGGATTAAATCTATATAAAACAGACCAGAGAATATACACAGTGGACAGATTAGCTTTTAAGATTCAAAATTCAAAGATGAAAAAATTTGCGGTTTTAAGTACGTGTAATATATGTATAAAAAGCAATTGTCAGTGTATTCAAAATAATATATAAATAATGAATGCATGTTATAGCCTTATATTAGCTATAATTCGATGAATTCAAACTACAAACTTTTACCTCTACTAGTGAATCATCCCAGAGATCCAGACGTATGGATTTCACTTTGCTGACATCGGGTAAATTGCGATGCATCCCCGAGCAGTTCAGGCACACAAAGATGCCAAGAGTGTAGGAGGCCCAGTCAGGATCTGTGAGCAAAAATGATCACAATATTTACTTTGTAAGAAGGAACCAAATACAGAACAAACAGGTGTTTCATTTCTGGGCAAATGTAGACTACAAATATGCTACAAATAAAGTGAACAGTGAAATAAACCAAAGTAGAATTTCTTCTTCGTCTTTAAATGTATTTTCTCTCTTTCTTCCTTTCACACAGACAAACACACACACTGTATTAATTCTCCTTGGCAGTGATGGCGACAAAGTGTTGGAAGTTGTAGGAGGAACAATGAAGTCATACCACAGAATATACAGTAGCTCCACTTCCCCCTTATGAAAGTTTAATATAAAACGTGACATGGTAATAAAATATTATTTTGGAGATAGTTTAACAAACAACATCACGTGGCTCTGGGGCACAGGCTACTGTTTACCATTGTTCACACTTACATAAAGAAAACACACTAATTCACACAGAAATCAGGTATAATGGTCTTTGGGGGAAATATGTATTGTTGAAGAGTTGAGCAAACATGAAACAATGCTAGTGTATTTATTAAAATATATAAACTTTGGTTATGAATCTTTGTCAGTGTACTCACCAGGAGCTCCACAGTCAGCACACAAGTTGTTACCTGGCTGTCGCACCAAATCAAGCAGGATTTTGCTATTTCTTTCCAGATTGGCCATAGGTGAAGGTTGTTTGCCTCTGTTAGAGTTGAGTCCCGACAAGAAATAGTATTAACTCCATCTTGATTCTACACAGCTCATGGTGCTATTCTGCTCTGTGGCAAATGAAAAACATAATTTCTTCTCGCTGACTAGTGGCCCAGCATTTCCTCTTAAAAGCACAGCATCATGCAGTTTATTGTTCTGCACACAAATGCCGAGGTCCAGAAATAACAGAGAAAGGAAGTGAAACAAACGTAACAGGGTGAATGACTTACAGTGTCAGGCTAATAGACTTGTATGTGGTTTGTATGTAGCTTGACTTGTGTGTGTGTGTGTGTGTGTGTGTGTGTGTGTGTGTGTGTGGGGTGGGGGTGGGGGGGGGGGGGTTCATGTAGATTTTACTGTAAATGTAGGCTACCTTTTGTTCACCTAAACGTATTTTGCATTTAATTAAAATGCAGGGTAGACAGAACTAAAACATTGTGTTGTAGGTAAATACACTGAAGCATTAATATCACTCTTTTGGAACCTGTAAAAATCTAAATTGTAGACCAAAGATGTGATGTTTTAAAGGTCCTACATACTGTATCGGGTACACTCACGGGTGTTTTCACTTATTAAACCTGACTAGCCCTCTTCTTGAGACCTTGTGGGTGTACTCAGATTGTGCTTGATTAACACCTCTCTGACTCTCATTTTAAGCTTTTACCTTTACCTTTTTTATTATTATTATTACTATATGGATTTCCCAGTGTAGCTTTACCCAACTTCAACCTGACAACCTGCCGTGTTGGCGAGTAGTCATGCAATTAAACTTGTAGTTTAACTACATTTTGCAGTAGCTTGCCATTTTATGTGTAGTTAACCAATGAAACTATCATTTTGGGCCATAAAAGGAAAATAATAATTTTTTTTTATTTTTCTATTTTACCAATGCTTCTCTACTGTAATTGAATCCCCTTTTGACCAGCCCCACCACATTTTTCTTTCATCCTGACATCTGTGAAGGCATGAACAGCCAATGCATTCAGGCAGCCTCCACCATGCACCTGACCTTTGTGTAGTGCATGTGTAAAAGCCAAGGGCGGTGGTGTTGCTCAGTGCTCTCACAGCAACGTCATCATGGATAAACATCCTGAATGAAGAATCACCATGGCCATACTTATTGTATACAAAATCAAAGCGGACATTCTTTGCACTTTCCTATGAATATTGTTTTGGGTTTTTTTCTTGTTTATGTATGACTTGTGAACAAGTAGGCACTCTTTGCAATAAATTGGCATGCAACTTTTTTGTATTATATTTTGTTAAAGTTTTGTATTGCATGTACATTGTCAATTTGATAATTTTTAACAAAGTAGTTTGAACTAAGTAGCTTTAGTTAGCCAAACTAGATTTCTCCCTAAGGTAGCTTTGCTGTCAACTTGCAATGCCATTCTTTCAAAGTACCTTCCCGAGAACCTGAGGATTGTAAACTGCAGTCACTGTACAATCTGCAGTTTGTGGTGCTGTTGAACTGTATAGGGTTGTAATGAGAGGTGTTATTCCTAATACAAATTTAAAAAAAAAAAATTACATTACATTACATTTTTCAGTATTATGCAATAAGCTGTGAGATAGTTGTAGGGGAGTAAAATGTAAAATATTAAGATATAAAGTATAATAAAATAGTAGTTCAAAAGTGTAATTATGTACAGTTCTTGAGTAAATATACTGAGTTACATTACACTGGCACTGGTAAGAGGTCTTTCTGATATTTATTCTACTCTCAATTATATGAATGTATGTTAACATAAACAATACGTATTAATGCAGCACCATATGAATTGGTGCAATAACCCCACATACTTACACACAGTGAATGGCGTAATACATCTTTAAAGTCGGTTCTCCGGTAAACACAATAGAAGCACTCCGGAACCAATCCAAAGCAGTGTTGTTGTGCTGCTCCGGTCGATTTTATAGCGTCGGACGACAACCAGAGGACGAAGTTGTTTTACCGGCATGATGTTGTAGCTGAAACGAACCATTATTTACTTTAACTAACGACATGTGGGTCGCCAGGCGATTTTTGTCATCGGTCGCTCAGAGAAGTACGTTTTCATTGTGAAATATTTTCTCTTTTTGCATAAATCTCAATGTACAGACTGCTAACGTTAAGCTAATTTAACTTAGCTAGTTGTAAATGCTAATTTAAACATTGAGAGGTTATATTATTTCCAATTTTATGTTTTACGTTTTTAGTTTTCCCTGCCTTTGGGTCTGACATATCTAATTGACAGATTCACAGTAACTTGCACGAAGGCTCTGTACTCACGTGTTGTGAAGGGTCAAAGCTTTTTTAAAAGGTTTTACTTTGTCTAAACTCGTTTTGATTTCCATCTCCTGTATTTCTTCCACAGGACATTATGCAGGACAGTTTGGTTTATTCCGTAGCCCTAAGCACGGCTCCCTCCCCGAGCTGGAGCTGCGGTATCTCCAGTGCACATGCTGCTGGAGAAGCCGGGTTCCCGTGGCCGGCTTTGAGACACTGAACGCCACCCTGTCCTCAGCTTCCGAGCCCTGCAAGGATAACACCAGCAGAACTTTGGACGCCTGTTACACCTCCGAGCAACGAGACGCAATCCTCCAGCTGCTCAACACCGCAACACCGTCAGAGCTGGCCGCCGTCAAGCTCCTCAGAGGCCGCAAATCGCTCAACATTGTGGACTACAGGACTAAAAACGGACCCTTTAAAAATCTGGAAAGCGTGGTGAATGTACCGCTACTTAAGCACAAAAGTGCTGTCATAGTCTTCGACTCCATCCTCAACCCGGTTAAGAAGGAGAGGAAAGTGAGGATACAGCTGGCCAAGTTTATCAGGCCAGAGGTAGACAGGTCCTGGTTGGAGGTGAGTTTCGGCTCCTGTATGTGAGAATTTAATGGTCATGTTCAGCTATGGGTTAAGACACAAAATAAAGTGGGTTGGCTGGGCAGGTTACAGAGATTGTCTTGGGTTTAATTCAACACCCATCTCTCTATAGCTGTGATTGTGGTTTGGGTCTGCCTGAAATGCAGGTATGGGTATTGCACAAGGCAAGAAAGTCTGTTTTCCTGCCCTGTAGGTTGATGAATATCATGTCTGACCTCTGATGTTTGAGATAGTTTTGGTGTTCACCTCACTTCACTTGTCAAACAAAAATGTTGAATGTAAAAAGGAAAAGCAGGTCAAATCACTACGATCACTTATCATGATTCTATATTCGTTTACTCAGGATGCCAATACCATAGTGTCAATAATATGTGGGACTAATAAAATCGCCTGGGCACATGTGGAACGTGGGATGACCGTACTGGATTGGCAACAGCTGGAATGTCCTAACTTCTTGAAGGGAACATATATGGCTTCTTCTTACTTAAATGATGTGAGTACCACTACCGGAATCTGTTATTATTGAAAATGTACGCCATGACTGATTCAGGGTTTTTGCAGAGAAGCTATGTAGCAGCCATTGTCCTTGTACAGAATTTAAACCCATATCTAACTGCACAATATGTAAATTTTTCTTTTCTGCCTACAGGTTTCTGCGGCCGTGTCACTACTCCCTTCTGCTGACTTCTACATTATAGAGAAATCCTCAATCTCAGTCCAGAATACTGCTCTGTTCCCTGTTATGGCACACATGAGGACGGTGGAGGCAATGCTTTTTGCTCTGCTGGAGCCCAAAAACTCAGCACCAGAGTCCAATATTCCTCCCAGGTGGGAAAAATTGATTTCATATAAATAATGACTGTTCTCAACTTCCAAATTTACCATATCATATAAAAACATATTCATAATAACATTTAATACCAATACCTGCTTCAGCATGTCAGTGTGCATTTTAAATCTGGAACACTAAGTGAACATACATGTAAGTGACCTAACACAAAAATTCCCCCCTTAATTTCTTTCTTTGTTGCAGAGTTTTGAACATGATGCGAACTGCTGTGGGACGCCATTTTGGACTAATGGTGGGGGAATGTCGGACCAGCGGGGCAAAGACAGTGCGACAGCTGATGACTGAGTCGGTGACACAGAAGCTTCCCAGGATAAACTTTCCCCAAGATCTGCTGTTCAAGTACAGGAACTCCTTCCAGATGGGGAACAGAAGAGGAGGAGAGGAACTCTGTGATGCTCTACTTCAGGCTGTAGCTTTTTACGAGCTGCTCAGTGAATCTTACAGTTAGCAGCCACCTGGACCGATCTCATGCACCGACCATGCACCACATCCAATAAAACAGACCTCTTAAGTGGCAAGCTGAGCCCATTTGAATCCCTGAACAGATTTAATATACTTAAGGTTACGTTAAACACTATGGTGCTTTGTTATTTCTACTGCTGATGTTTGATTTGGACATTTCCACAAACTAACTGCTGTCTGCCATCTTCTGCTGTCTGAGGATTTTCATTCAAGTTGATTAGTGTTACACTTTATGCAATAACTTTTTACAAATAAAAAAAAAAACATTATGGTTGTCATGAGCAACTAATGTCTGCGTATGATCATGTAAAAAGTGGCAAGATAATTTACAAAAAATATAATTTTTATTGATTCTTCATGGTTGCACTTATATGTAAATAAAACCTGATTTCACAGCTCAAGTGAGTAAAATTCATTTGAAAAAGAGTTCACTAAAATGGATGCATAGTAAAATAAATACTGACAGGAATAAGGTGTGGTAGTCCAGACTTTTCTCTAAGAGAAATCTTCTGCCAGGAGTTGAAAAGTTGACTTTGATAGGTCCAGGTGTATGTTGCTGAGGTAGTTCAGACACCTATTGCGGGGGATAAATTGTTGTATGACTTGTGTTGTATGATGTATAATATCATTAAATAATCAAATTCAGGTATAATACGTATAACATACATTATTTAATCCAGCAATGATTCAAATGGAAGATTTAACACTAGTTTGCTTTGACCTAAAAAAAACAAACAAACAAAAAAAAAACACACATGCTTATGGTAATTACATAAGGAAGCTTTGGGGCTTAAGATACAACTACCATCACCTACCTTCCACTGTCCCACAAACCACTCCGATGTTAAACTTATTTATAACCCATTAAGTGTGAAATATTCACACTGAAGACTGTAGACCTCTGTAGAAAATCAATTTAAACCCGTGTGTTGTGTCTGGCTCACCTGACTGACTCCTCTTTCAGTTGCTGCGCTGTATGAAAGCGACAGATGGAGCGGAGGACCGGCATGTAGTCAACACTGACAGCTTGTCTGTTTCCCAGCAGGCTGAAGGATTTACTGCTGAGCACCGTCCTGCTCAGCTTGTACTGTCTTTGGGACACGCTGGAGGGAGAGGACCAAGTGTAACATGGTGAAAAACAGAACCCTTCCAGATTCCAGAAATAAGTTGCGTGATTAATCTTTTTAAAAAAAAAATGCATGGATGGAACATGCTTGGTCATACATTTTATGAAAACATAGCAGCCAAATGCATCCATGGCCTCATCTGAAACTCCACAGAAAATTTGACATCCAAATGACTAAAGAAAGCTTAGGACAACTCAAGTATAAAAAAGGCACAGGATCTATATCTGTCATGTTACAAACTGAAAAACCAGATAGTAAACTATTTGAATCAATATTCAGGAGTAGAGAGGGAGAACAGACTCACATTGGTGCACACAGAGGATGGAAACTAAATCTGAGGCTCTGTCTTTTGGAAGCAGCGGGGAACATCAGTTTCTCCACCAGCCTCTCCCGCTCTTTGTCCTCCAGTTCCTGGCTGTATTTTTGGGCTTCAGTCCTCACCTCAGACACCCGCCACCAGCATCTGTGAAAGCCCAAGCCTTCAGCAGCAGCCTGAATATCCGACAGCCTCTCCTGGCTCCAGCTCCAGCCCCCCTCCTCACTCATCTCATCCAACAAGCCGTCCTTTATATCCGCCCCTGTCCAGACAAACGCCTCAGGGCTGCATGAGCCTGAAACAAGCTTTGCAGCAGCTGGCAGAGTGGCATCAAGGTACGACATGAGGTCAAAGAAGTCAGTCAGGGCATCTAAACAGTCAGTTGCCACTTGGGCTGATTTTTGTTCAGTCTTGTTACTTGAACTGGGGAGTCTTGAACGAGCCCCCTTTAATAACAATGAGGTGCTTTGAGGTTTGTGAGTTAAAGTGGAAGGTGATGTAGTGTCAAACACTCTTGCAATATATTTTTTTCTACTAAGCCTGGAGTTTTTCCTAACAGATTTGGGACTGATATTTTGATTGAGCTGCTGGAGGTGAGGATCAGTGTCAGAGAGTGCCAGCTCACTCTGCAGCCCAGAACAAGTCACCTTGTCCAGGTAATGGACTGAAGTTCCCTTGGCGCCGATGGGTAGAAGGAGCTCCAGGTTGGTGTAGAGAAGAGGAACACCTCCTCTCCAGCTCTCTGCTAGGAGCCTCAGGAGTTTGTTCGTGTCTGTTTCAGACCAGCGCTGACACTGAAAAATCAAAGACAAATTATTGACAAAGTGCATTTTTCTTTGGGGAAAATATTATGAAGTTTAAAAAATTTAGATAAATATAGATATGAATACTTGCCTTTAAAAGGTTCAACAGTTGGTTTTGGGTGACAGGATGGAGACCGAGCATGCTGGCAGAGCAGCCTGTGTCACATGGAGGAAGACTGGAGTCTAAATTGTTTACCCCTTCAGCATCATTTGAGTCTAGATTTGGAAATGGAGAAAATTCCTGCAAATCCATACTGGTATTGCAAGTTTTTGGTAACAAAATCCATGTCTATAAAAGGGGCCCGACTGTGATACTTACACTGTACACGAGTAGGCTCCTTAAGCAAGCCTCCACTCTGAGATGCCCTTCCTCCACCACCGTGCACCCAGAGCTGCAGCTGCAGCAGACAGCGCCTGATGTCTCCACAGGTGAGTGTGAGGAGGCTGCTAACATCATCCAACTCCAGTTGCACATTCTCAGCCAAACACACCAGCTGCAGGTAGCTACAGACATCCACCTTGGAACAGATGAAATAAGTCTATGACAAACTGGGTTATAATGGTTCTGCATGTGTGGGGAGCCTATAACAGCAGACTTGGAAGCCAGCAGGGTTTTATTTTTTTGACACAAGCATACAAAAAAAGTGTGGAGCTACTTTAGGAAACATGCATGGGTTTCACACTGAAGTTGTACAAGAATATACAAAGATAAAAATTTGACTCACCGCTATTGGGGTTTTGAAAATGATTTCCTCCAAGCTGCAGTTGAATCTCTCTCTGAATAAAGGATCTAAGGAGGACATTTACTTTGCATCACGGCTTGTCTTCAAATCTATATTACTCTAAATTACACAGTGTGTGCATTTACCATTGGCGGTCAGAATGACTGGCCTTTTAGTGGTTGTCATGAAAGTTTTGATGGCTGCGAGGAAACCAACATCATCGCTGAATATGACATCAACCTGTGGGAACAGACAGTTGCAAGCAGATCACCCCAGACCAAGCATGGGATATGTGCGGCCTCATATCCATTAAATTATATGTCTCACAGTGTTGGGTTGCCAAATGGTTTACCTCTTCAAACAGAATGAGTGATGTGGCTGTCTTTTTACTCTGTGGCACTGCTTGATCACAGCCTGCTGATGGGCTGCCCAATTTCTCCCCGTCTAGTTTCTCAGATGGCGACAGGCCACCAAAGTGTAAGTGATCTGCTTTGGCCTTCATCTTAAAGTAGTTGGCCAAAGTGACTGTGGCTGGATTAGCTTTTCCTCTGCGACTAGAGCGGCCAAAGTTCTGTGCTGTCCTCCTTTTTGTGGTAGAGATGACATTTTTAGGATGCACTGTTTTTCCTGTTAAAAAAAACGCAAATGCCTGTTAAATATGTTAATGTCATTGAAGCATCCATTACTGTGTACAGATATTATACTATATTTAAAACTTACAAAAACCTCACACCATCAGGTTTTTTTTTACGACACAATCATTGTTGCAGGCTTGTCTAAGTAAGTCAGTATTCAGATAAAGACCCCGTCTTTATTAGTCATCTCTTACCAGGTAAAGTCTCAGTTTTAGGAGTGCAGCTGCTGGTATTGTAGTTGTTGAGGTAAGCTGGTTTCAGTGGGTCCTTGCCCGACATTTCCACTAGGTGGGACTGGGTAGCCTCCTTGAGCTGGGACAGAACGTGGCGGCCACTGCGCTGTGAGGAGCAGTTCACCTCAAACACCTTTGAATGAAAAAGGAAAAGAAAAATTAAATGATGATTGATCCTATTTAAGTATGACATCCAGATGATTACTTGTCATGAAAGCAGTTTAGAACCTGGTGAAACATAGTCTTAGTAAGGGCCACAAAGATTTCAATAAAAGATAAGCAATCCATTTTGACAAAGAGTTTCATTTTAAATGTTCCCTTCGGACTCGGTTGCATTTAGAATAATCGGTGTGGTAATTGTTTATGTTTGTGACTAATCTCGTATTCTTGATTTTTCTCTGAGGCAAAAGGCTCGGATAAAAGTGATAGGAGGCATAATTTCAATGGGCTACAAAAGCACAAGAACAGATGGAAAAGTATCTGTAATCTGTTCATCTGTGAGTTTCTGAGTAGATGAGAAAACATGTCCTCAACGGCCAGAATAATATGAAGAAAGTACACAGCAATATCACATACTATTTTAATTTATGGATCATTTTGTCAAGCAGTCAGTGGTGTAGACACTGATGAGTGAATAATTTTAGACTGCGAGTATTTTCTATTTTGCCAATAGCTTTTTAATATCAGTGCCTAAAACATTATTTTTCATTTATATTAGTTATTTCTAGCGAGCCTCTCCATGAGCTTTTTAAACCAGTTTTTCATTACTGTATGTTAAGGTTATAAGTGTCACTTTCTCATGTAAATTTACGATTAAAATCTGACACCTCCGATCTGAAGTGACAGTGATAAAGTTTGTATAGCCAATAACCAACTGGTTCTCTACAGGAATCCTTTAATCTTATTAATTTTAGGAATGTTTTAAGGGACTGTATGGATTAGATTTGACATATGTATTTATGTTTGATGCCTGATATTACGTTATTGTTCTCAGTGGTGAGTTAACACTGACACTTTTCACCCTGCTAAGAATCCATGTTTGATGTTAATGATGGTTTAAAGATATATGGATGCAATTATCAGCCTTTGGTGGCATCTACTGAAAGATATTGGACCTTCACATAAATCCCAACCTTGAAGCCAAGCTCCTGAGCGCAGGCATACACTGAGGCAGTCTTCCCCACACCTGGAGGTCCTGTTATCAGCACGGTGTTACATAGCGGATCCTCTCTGTTGCCCTCTGCCCCAGCCTCACCTTGGAAGTCTCCACAGTCCCACGAGTCTGCACAGAAGGACAGTCATTACTTTTCCGACCAAAAATCCCACACATGGAAATCCTCTGTCATTAAAATAAAACTTTAGTCATGTGGATACACAAAAACAATCAGGCTTTTGACGAACATTTGGTCATGGCTCATTCAAAGCCACATGAACATTTTGACCCTGAGTGGAAAGATATGAGAGCAAAAGTAATGTTTGACAAATTGCAGCGAATACCATTGCTGTTATCTTCATCTTTCCTTTCCTCCATTTTTCTCCTCTCGTCAGAGTCAGCTCTTAGTTTCCATTTCTTCAACCAACTGAATTCCAGACAAAAACCAAAAGAAAAAGTTGTGCTTACACGGATTTCAAGTCCAATATATCAGTGAAAGGATTAGGGAGCTAATGAACAAAACTGACCTGTGAAGTTTGTTCACTGAGACAGAGTTGCCGATGACTTCACTTGAATGCTGAGGACTGTACTTGTCTGTCCAGAGAACATCCTCAAAACTGGATTCTAGACAAAGGGAAAGAAATGACATTTTCTGTTATTAAAAGGGCACAAAACATACCTTAGGAATACAAATCAATCAGCCTATGAGAGGGTTTACCTCTGTGAAGAATATCAAAGGTTATGGGTGGCTTGCCATCAGATTCTGTGTCATTTCTCCATTCAGAGTTTGGCTCACAGTTGTTCACCAGGCCCGCTATGCTCCCGCTTCGCTCCCTCAACCTGTGACTGCGACTCAGCTTTCTGCTCCTAGGCTGCTCCTTCACAGAGATGACTGTACTTTCCTGGCCACCCTGTGCTAAAAGGTGAAATTGATCCACACCAATGGCATCCTCCCCAGTGAGACTACACCTCAGACGCTTGGGCACCCCCTCAGAGTTTTCATCTCCTCGTTTCCTCTTCTCTTTGAGGTGGTTCTGCAGGGAGTTTTCTGCTTTGGACAGGCTATTAACAGACTCTTGCTCAGTCTCACCTGTGGATCCAAAATCCCGCAGTTTTTCACTTGCTTTCCTCTGCAGCTTGCTGAACACTGTGTGAACTGGAAATACTGGATTAGATGTTTTGATTTCTTCCAGACAGCTGTGCAGAGATGAGGGTGACAACCGTCCTCTCCAGGAAGACAGAATAATTCCCTCTTTCTCTGTCAGGTGAGATACTGTAGATACTGATAACCGACGTTGACTTTTCACCCTTCGCAAATCATCCCTCTGAGGAGGAACTGGTTTCTGCGGCTTCTCTACAGGCTGATACAGCTTACCATTACTGCTCCTTTTACTCTCGCTCTGCCGTAAGAAAATGGGCGCAATTTTAATGCCTTTTGCGCAGCACGTCTGCTTCTTCTTTTCTTGCAGTGGTTGAACTCGTTGGGAGATCCCAGCAGCAGCAGAGGTATTAGAGCCATTTTTGTCTTTTGCAGCCAGCGAGGCTGAACCTCCCTCTGGTGATGTTTTATCAAAGGAGCAGCTCGACTCCGATAACACTAAAGATATTACCTCGGTGGTTTGTATTTGGTCTTTGCTTTGGCAGGGTGTATCCTTACAGTTTCTGCCCCGTTTGAGCTTGTTTCGCATTGTAGAGAAATCCAAACTCAAACACTGTGCGGAGGCATTTTGACTTTGGCGCTAGGCTGTGATGCATGACAGAGTCGTAACGTCAATTTGCGCGACGTTACTTCTAACCAAGCTAAGCTAAGCTAGACTAAAATTTATTTTACTTTTACACGAACCCAGCTTGCTAAAAATTATATTCTTATGTTATAAATTAAGTAGAAAATGTAAACGCTTTGAGTAAATACATAAAACACTTCCAAAACATCCAAACTTATGTGGAGCGACGTCAAAAACGTGCGCCAGGGTTGAGTGCAGCCAAAGATCGTTTATGCGCAAACTACACGGATGCTCTCTCCTTCAGTTTATAGCAAGTGAACCGAACTGATTTCTCCAGGCACCCAAATGCCAATCAGTTCTCCATAAGTAAATGATTAGTTGATTAATAAATTAGAAAACCAATTGCCAACTATTTTGATTTTTCTTAATTTTGATTAACTGTCACTTAAAAAAGTAATTTTTAAGGCAAAAATATAAAAAAATCCTCTCGTACCAGCTTATCCAATGTTAGGATTGTTTTTCTCTCAATAAAAGTGTAAATTGGTTTGTGGATAATTTCCTGGCTTTTCTAGGACAGCAAACTTTGGTAATTTTTTACTGGTGCTTCAATGTTGGAATAATACTACCTTTCCTGAGGTTTTCTGTGTTAATTACACAGAGAAAAAGTAACTAATTTGATAAAACATTGCAACAAAGTATTTCAATATAAACTAAAACAGTTAAGGTCCTAAAACTAGATTTTGACTCAGAGTCCTTCTACAAAGGAGACCACAAGGCCTCAAGTCACAGTTAATTTTTCACTTCAATGTTGCATGTTACATGTGTCAACTGCTTTTTGCTTTTAGTGTTCTCACTCGAGAACGGTGACCATGTTCTTTTGACTATCCTTCCAGTCAGGTGGCCCTTCCCATCAACCAAGGGTCGCTACCTGTGAAGTGATGTCCTACCTGAGCAGCATGACACTGAGAACACATTGAGATTAACTTAGGCCAAGATGATGCTGCTGCTTTCCCATGTTAAAGAAGAACCTGGAACCTGCCAGGTAAGGGGAATTTATGCTCTTAAGTGTCTTCATTATCATCTTTTACCTGCGTAAGTGATCCACTTTCCCCAGACACTTGATGTGTTGGGGAAGATGGAAGGTCTGCACTCTGCACATCTCTAGTGAATATCTAGGACATAAGTAGATCAACCAAAATTCCAGTTAGCAACAAATTCACATTTCAAAATGCTTTGTCAACATTCATTTGAAATGCAGAAAGATCTTGAGTGTAGAAAACCCATTAGGACCAGTTTGAGGCAGTGTGATGATGCACCTTCACATTTTGGTTACCTTTCAATACACGCTTCACTAAAACCTCAGGATAATTACCAAACATGTGACACATCTAACTAGATCTTGCCAATTTATTCTTTACCTTGTTGACAAAATAGTCTTAACTCAAGGGTAACTTAATTCATTGTTCTCAAGCTCTGGATGTGCTCAATGAGATGTGCCTGTTTGAATAAACTGAGCAAACTAAATCTGGTGACAAGGACAGGTTGAAGCACTCCAGAACAAATGAGTTTCATGTTCAGACTGTAAACTGCAGTTGGTCATCTTTTCAACCATTGTCATTTGTATTTTACAGAAAAAGAAAATGCTTCATTCTATATGTGAAAAATAGTTTTTGGGTGCATGAATGGTTTTTATAAGATTTCAAGCCTGGATGGAATGGTATTATTCAGAACAGGTTATTATACAACTAGAATGACAAGGCAGAGACCACAATAGAGAGAGTGTAATGATGGCTAATGTCCAAAATCGACCAATAATAAAAGGTCAAATGTATTTTATTTCTTTAAATATAAAAATCCCCTTAGCCAGAGTGTACAGTTCACAATTTTTAACAGGGTGTTTCGACAACAATGGTGAATATGTCTCCCTTTTTCCAGATGAATACAGAAACCCTCTATGAACAGTGGAGGGAGAAAAAATATATATTGTTAATTTGGTTGTCCACAAGGGAAGTCTGATGAAATAATGAACGGTGATGATCACCTATTTATGTGCACACTACAAAACACATCTACTGCTTTTTTTTTTTTTTTTTCTTAAAAACTGGTTATGGAATGAACAAAAGAAAATATACTAAAAAAATACACAGAACTAAGAGACTGATGAAAATATTCCCCTTTGGCATAAACTGCACCTAACAGAACAGACCCAACCATCCAATAAACAGCATATTGCTTTGAGAGAAGCCCAGCAATCTGTTAATTATTGGATTCAGAGCAGGGCACAGCTAAACATTTGATTTGATCACATGTATACACATTTCTGTCAATCAGCTACTGATACTCAGAACCCATGTTAAAAAACAACATGACCAAACCTCAATGTGGAAAAACAGGTGCCTGTTTCATCAGAAAACTGTTGACTTTTATATCTTCAGTGCTATGCACTCTACACCATACATGGGATGATGTGCTGCTGGTTGTTTCAGTAAGTCTTAGGAAAAAGAAAATATTCAGAAAAGTTCATTTCCCTGGCTTTCCTTGAGCTATGATCAATGCAGGCCAAAAGGCTTAGGGGGTGATGAAGTAGGAGTTTAGCCTGGACCCAAATCTCAATTTATTCTCTTGTCCAGGATCCAAGCTTACAGTATAACACTATCGTCATGGCAACCTACCAGCAAAACCCACAATCCATCTGGGTGTCCTAACACAAGCTTTACAGGCTTTATATACTCCAGACATTGATGCCAAGTGTAGATTTTTACCGTGATGTTCTCTTAACTGTAAAACCCTTCAAATTAAATGTCATTCACAACAGTGAAATCAAACCCACTAACATTTCTCCACTGATGATAGTGGAAAAGCTGCATTCATCATTTGGCGCAGCATGATTTATATAAAAAAAAAAAAAAAAAAAAAAAAAAAAAATTTCAAGGTAAGCTTTCTAAATACAAACACCAAGTGCTAAAATAATCAGCTAAAAGGATAAGTTTTCAACAATATTGTGTATGTGTACAAATAATCAGTGACAATGTTACCAGTACAGTTTTAACTGTAGTCTTGATACAGTTGTCTGTAACAAGGACATACCAAAGGCAGTCGTGCCACGTCAGAGGAGTCTCAGTTTGTTCACTCTCTCACCCAAACACAGATACTTCAGTGGCTCCTACAAAATGCATATTAAGTAGGTTCAACTTACATCATCCAGTCCTCAAATTCCTGGTTTGTGTAGCTGTGGGTGATTCACTTTTATATTGTTCATATTTGGTTCAGTCCTCAAGTTCCAAAAACTTGTTTACCTTGTATACTGGTCTGCTTTAGGTCAGATCCTCCACTGACCATTTCTCCCACCTATCTAAGCACCAAATGGTTGGTAATGTTCATTGAAGAAGAAGAAAAAAAAACAAAAAAAAAAAAACAAACAAAAAAACCCAACAATCATTGTTCCATCCATCCAGCCTGCATCAGTCTGTTAGCGCGCTTTTTGTCCTCTTGCCCTGCTTCCCTCCACTGGAGGTGATGGCGTTGCCGTTGCAGGCTCCTGCTGGTACCAGAGTCTGGTCCTGCTGCTCCTCCTCAGTGTCCGGCAGCTCTTCTTGGATCTGCCGCAGACGGGCCATGGCACGGTCGATGGTGGCTGTGCTCACCAGGTTGAAGTCGTGCATGCTGACTAAATGCAGGAGGAAGTTACGGCAGAGGTTGCGGCGGATGATGTGAGCACCACGGTTTTCCACGAAAAGCATGATGGCCTGATTCATCTGGTTGTCTGCTATGAACCTGCAGGGGAAATAGAGTATGAGTGAACTTCTAGATGTTCTTGATTTCTTAGTAATAATAGTTTCCCATAGCAACAAGAAATTCTTAGTTTAGGCAAGTTAATCAAAAATAAAACCATATTATACAATCATATATACAATACATATACAAAATCCAAATTTTTTATAACAATTATCACATTGCTGAAATATAAAATACTGTATGGAGGGTCTGGTAATGCCTACCAGTGCTATATAGAACATACCCATGCTTCATGACATGCAGGTTCCACAGCTTCATCACCTCCTTCTCTCCCTCGTTGACATCTGTGAATTCATCCAGTTGCTGTAAGTAAAAAAAAAAAAAAAAAATTTGATACCCTTCTGATGCGATATGAACACATTGTCATCTCAGCCAGTAAAACAACAAAGACTGATGATTTCATTTTAGGCATTTCCTGTTCTGTTTCCTGACAGTGAAACTGAAACTTATTCTATTGCAAGTAATCTCAGCGGGTTGAGAAAATCAATACTGAAGTGATTAAAAAAAAAAAAAAATGTTGTGTATGGGTGTAAAGCAAGCTGAAGAAGTGTAAAGTGCTGGCAACAGTTTTTGCTCTGAGCACCTTTAAGATATTTATGGGGAACAGGCACAACCCAAGTGCTTTGACTCTTTGTTGCCATGGTAATCCTACACAGAAAAAGAAAAAGAAAAAAGAAAACTGTATTCCAAGGCTTTATTTTTATGTTTTTTTTTCCCCTTTTAAAAAAATTCTCTAGGCTCCTCAGAAACACTTGCAAACAATCATTTTTATTTGGTCTGATTGTTGAAGTTTCCTTACCTCTGTCAATTTTCATTTCAAATTTTCCTTTGGTACATATCATTACTGGGCTCTTTGTTACTTGCATCGATAGCTGCTGCTTCAATAAGTGGTAATAAAATGAGAATGTTCCTCTTTGGCAGCTTTCTGGACCTTCAAGGGTGTCTCTCTATAAATGGTGCCTCATTTTTATTCAACAGTGAAACCAGCCAAAGTGACTGAAGTAATGGCTTCTCACCGTGGCAGTCTTCTCTCTGAGCCACTCTGGATCTCTCTCATCCTCGCTGTCCACATCCATCTCCTGGGGCCGCAGGGGCATGCAGCTGTCACTGTGGAAGTAGAGGCGGTTGTGTCCGCTGACATAGGTCCTCTGCTGCTCCAACTCTCCATC